AAAGTTCAAATCTGATAGGTGTCAGCAAAAAACATCTTAGTAGTGGCACTCTAAAACATAAGGCTTACTATATATAAAAGCTACAAGGATCCACATTGGGAGTCTTGGAGGAAAACCTATCTGCAATACAAACTGGTAAATCTATGGTAGAATCAGGCACCATAAAACAACTTGTGCCAGCACTGTAAGATGCTTCTGTAATCACAGATACCAAAAATAGCTATTTTATTGATTTATATGTAAAAATATGATATAAATATATGATATATATCTATATATATAGATATATCAAAGATATACTTACTGGATACATCCCTATGCCAGTTAAACAGCTAGCCATAGTGTCACACTGGAAAAATCAACCAAAACATAAGGCTGGGGACAGGAAGGTTAATAGTTAGAGTTTACCCATTCTGTCTGTATCAGTACACATGGAACTGACAACTAGATGATCTCTTAGGACTAGCTGACCCATGTTCAACATCTGCTCTACATTGATTTTCAAATTTCAAACATACGAACTATTACCACCAAGATCTGCACCCACGAACCATCACATTACTCTGCTATCAGTACAGTAGATGTATTGACCCCATATTAAGTACACTATTCCACCAGTAAAAATGCACAAAATATAGAGGTAGGGCAGCAGTCTGGAACCTTTTTGTTATACATTGGCATTTCTTCCTGAATCCTGACAGCATCATGATGTGTGGGTGGTCGTGCAGAAATCCAGGCCTACCTGTAGGCATTGTACTCAATGCAATTCACATTTGTATTCAAAATAAAGGAATCATTCGGCAGATGTATAAAGCCCCTACATACAAAATCCTGTGCCCAATTAGCTGTGCATAAATTTTTTCTCCTTGTGCCTTCTCTTTTAAAGTCAGCATATGCTTATAAGGGCTTATGTCAGCTATCTGCAGTCAGGAAGGAGCCCCAAAAAAATGTCAGTATCCATAATGTCAGTATCCACCCCGGCTTCCTAAGTGATAGCTGGTTCTGCCACCCTAGAGCCAGAGCCAGCTTTGCACACCCCCTCCCCATTTGTCCCTCCAGTGAGCAGTGAAAGAGCATACAGGGGAAGGGGGAATCCCATGGGAACCAGTCACTGACAGTCACTGCTTTGTGCAGGGAGAAGAAACCGTGAGCTGAGTGATCAGCAGATACAGCTCTAGTGTCCCTCACCGACACCGACTCTTAGCATTGAGAGAATGTTTTAATCTTCCTGCATTTCTGCTTTAATAGGAGGCAACAAAATAATTGTGTTCAATTAAAACTCCACCATGTCTATTGTTCTGTGTTCCATTGTCTTTGTGACTTCATCTGCATAAACTTCATAGCTGTCTTACTTTACATGAACAAAATAACACTTTATTTGATGTGCAACAAATACAACACTATTCATATTTGTTCCAAACTCCATTATCTCCTCATCCTATTCATGCCGCTATGTTAAATCTATTAACAAAGGAGCTAAAATAATGATTTACATATCTTGGCACCTATGATTGCATATACAGTAATCAGTATGACATCAGAATGTTGTTTAGATCCAGAAAGCATCAACACCGCTCCTCCACTGCCAGACAAGGGAAATTTCCAGGTGCCCAGCAGCTGAGTGCATCTTTTTTTTTTTTTTATAAATTCTTTTTTATTAAAGATTTTCGTACAAAACATAGCATAACAGCTGAGTGCATCTTCACTCTAATATCATTGAATCTAATACTGAAAAGAATCTGCAAATTTTGTTGAGAGAAAACTTTATTGTAGCTCATACAGCTTCACATAGTCCCACCATAGGTCTGCCCCTCTCTAACGCACCTCACGAATCATAGGCTTAACCCTACGATTAGATATGTGCCATTCGTTTTGTTCCGAATCTAAATTTGGACAGCTTTGCGGACATTCCGATGCATCCGACTTTAGAATGAAAAAATAATAAATCCCAGCATATCCAAATTTTTTATAGCGAAAATCTCAATCTTTTTATGAATGTAATTCGGAACTAACCACTTCCAGCGGGTTCACATAAATACACGTCATCCGTTGGAAGTAGTTATAACAAGAACACGGCTGCTGCTGTTTAAATACAAGTGATCTGTTGTCTGCAGGCGCCGGATCGCTTGTATGGCTCGGCTCCATGTGTTCCCCACCACCACCGCTGCCGCCGTCAGCTTCCCAGGCACCGCTGTCCCCCGTGCATGGGTCTAATCGTGGGACCACCGTGGTGGGTCTCCCTGATGGATCAGAGGAGAGATCAGCGGCTATCAGCTACTGAACTCTCCTCCGATCACTGGACCCAGAAGTGAAGTGGCTTACATCACTTCCGGTGTCACTGTGCACATTCTCTGGCTCCTAGAGCCAGAAGAAGAAGCTGGTGAAGCAGATCTCTGCTTCATCAGCTTCTTTGGGGTCCCTAGGTGACATTAGGGGTCTGAAAGACCTCTGATGTCTCCATAAAGAGGACCTCTCACATTATATTTGCTATTACATAGGAGGCTTGTTACATAGGAGGCCCCGTATGTAATAGCAATAAAGTGAAGTGTTGAAAAAAAAAGAAAAAATCAAAGTAACAAATAAAAAAAAAGTCCCCCGCCACCCACGTGCACACACATACAACACAAACACGCGTCGGATGCGCCTACGTGCAAAATGGAAAATTGCGCCACACATGTTACATATCGTCGCAAGTGTCGGAGTGAGAGCAAAAATTCTAGGCCCGTCAATCACTGTTAGCACTAAACTGATGGGCCGTAATTGCGTTTAAAGCGTCGCCTATGGGAAATTTTGGTTATTGTAGTTTTTTGCGGTTTCATGGATGTACGCAATTTTAAGGCTTGACATGCTTGGTATCTATTCACCCAGCATGACCCCATCTTTTATATTTTACCAAAAAATTGGGTATTATATTCTGTTTCTGTGCACTAAATTTAATTTTAGTGTATTTTATCCTAAAAATACTTGTTTGATAAACATTTAAAACGCAAATACCGTGCGACATAAAAAATTGCAAGTAGCATTTTTATTCTACAGGGCCTCTGCTTTCAGAAAATATATAATTGTTTGGGGGTCTGAAGATGTTTTCTAGCCAAAAATTCTGATTTTATCATTGTGTGTGCAAATGTAAGAAATTGCTCCGGGTGGCGAGTGGTTAACTTTTTATAAATGTTAAGGTAAAAAAAAAGCATAGTGTCCCCTCCCCAATTGATAACAGACCCTGATCTGGTAGAAACCCCTAAGCCAAAAAAAAATAAAAAAATGTGGGGTTCCCCCTAAAATCCCTTACTAGACCCTTAATGCAAACAGCAGCCTGGAAGAGCAGACAAGGGGGGGGGCATGTGCACCCCCCATGCACCATACCAAGCCACATGCCCTTCATACTGCAAGCACTATTTTTGCAGAGTGCATTGGACCGGAACGCAGGCATAAAGTGCCTGCATTTCTGGTGCAGGCGATCACACTGCGGGCGGGGGGCATAACTGCGGTGACATTGACTTCAATGCACCTCCACGCCCCCTCCGGCCCCTGAACGCAGGGAGATGGCCAGCTTGCATTCCAGAGGCTGAATGCTCTGGAACGCAGACTTTGTGGTGTGTACCAGCCCTTCATCTCCCCATGGAAATGGGCGCCTCTGTGTTTTGCAAGCAATGTTACAACTGAGCTCTCCACCCTCCATTCATTAGTATTCATAGTGGCAAACCCCCACCCCCCTAATGACAGTGTATTGTGTGTAAAGGCAGAGATGGTGTTTAGTGATCATGTTACACACAGTTACAGGGAGGGGGGCAGCTGTTTTACAATCTGAACCCGGCGTCACATTGAATTTCCTGTGGAGAAAATGTTGAATTTCTAAGATTCAGGCCCAATTAAATGTTCAAACAAAAAAAGAAGAAAGCCTGCAATGTGAGCCATGAAAATGTGCACAAACCAGGGCTGTCATCTTAAACACTAAACTAAGGAGTAAAGCCTTAAAAATACATTCAAGTACCTTAACTTGATCATCAATGCCAGCATATAGCATTGTAGTGGGATTACAGGAAGCCTATTTCCAATTTTGACATAAATCCAGAGAATACGATATTTTAAGGTATTGCCATGCAGAGCAGAAATATAGCAGAAAAGTAGACATGAGACTTTAATTGGGCTTCAATAATTATAGTTTCAGATCACAAAAGCATGCAGTAATTTCAGCACCTAACAACTTTTTTTTCCAGTTCACTAAAGTTAAATGCAAAGACCCTTTGATTTTACTGCATTGAAGTTATGTTATAGATATGTTAGCATGTTAAAATATCACAACCTTTTTCAATAAGGTTCTATAAGATTATATGCTTCATTGTCATTGTAAAACTTGATAAAAAACTTTGATTTAAAATAATGATTCCTATGAATTTATAAGAATTTATTATTTTCCCTTCACTCAATCTTCTTCTCTCCATACTTAGTTCCCCCATGGACACTCCTTTCTTCTGTCTACTCTATTCCTGTTTTTTCTTCTTCTCCTCTATTTGTTCTTCCTTCTTGCCCTACTGGTATGGCTTGAAGATGCTTGCATTTAATTTGCTAGCCTGTAGATGGGGTCATCCCCCTTTGGGGTCTGGCGATGGTGCGTGGAGTCCTATGGGTATGTCTGTGATACGGGCTCTGTGGATTCCCCTGCTCTCCTTGGACCTCATTGTTAGTATCATCATCGATTTCCCTTTTACTTTGTGTATATGGGCAACAATCTTGCATGTATACTGATTTTGGTGCTCTCTCCTGGTATTTTATGTACTATTTTATAGCTGTATGACGCCATACCTACTATATATGCTTACTTGCTCTGTTGTTTGCGATAATTTGTACACTGTTTACTCTTTATACCTATGTTTATATTTTTATACTCATTTCTTTTAATAAAAATTTCTATTAAATAAAAAAAAAAGATAAAATAAAGCTTCCAAAAAAAAACACTTGTAAAGAAAAGTAAATTGATAGTTATGTGTTTTGTTTAACAGGGTCGTCCAGGTCAGCTTGGAGCTCAGGGTCCAATGGGGCCCCCAGGTTTCTCAGGGCCAAGCGGAGTTGCTGGACCAAAGGGTGAAAGAGGAACTCAAGGCTTACCAGGACCATCTGGGTCAAAAGGCGACCAGGTCAGGAAAAAGAATCTTATTATTATTTTAATAGATTTATAAATGTTTGTGTTTTAGTAGTAATCACTTTTTAAACTGACATTATTATTCTAATATTTTTTGTAATATTTCTGACCATTGTTTAACTTCAACTTGTTGAAAATGTTTTTTAACATCTGTGCCAAAAATACTCCGAAATGTCCACAATCCCCTTCAAGTACATCCTGGCCCATACAGAGTACCATGCTATTTGAATGGTTGAGCTCTAACCAGAGTACTTGGAACACTTTGCTCCCATAGTTATGACCACATAGATTCCTTCACCCTGAATCCCTCATCAGACATCCACCATCAATGATAACCACCAGTGACATACTTCTACCCTTCATATTTAGTTCACCCTCATGGGCACAATTTTGATTTTCTCATCCTATGTATTCTGTTTACATTTATTCCAATTTTACTGTGCATCTGAGTTTTCCTAAAACATTCTATAATAATTTGCCCATCCTATATAGTCTATATATAGTCTGCTATATGTTTCTTTTGCCCGCTGGTATATATTCTAATTATATACTCATTTTATGTATTCATTTTTCACAGGGCCCTATGGGAGTTCCAGGGTTCCAAGGTGCCAATGGAGTACCTGTAAGTAGACTGATTAAACATTTTGCTCTATATTCTGCAAATTGCAATTCAATTAATCACCATAAACCCTAAATTTATAACACTTTATAATGCATTATTGACCTTAATTAGACTGCAGTAGAAAAATATTTCATTAGTTACTAAAGGTTACTGCACTTCAGTGGCGTCACAATGGTGTTGCGACCCGGGTAACACCATTGGAGGGGTGACACCAAAATGGCTCACAGTCATTGACACCAAAATGACTGACAGTCATTTTGGTGTCACCCCCTCTAAAAAAGTCGGGCACTCGGTTATGGATGCGCATGCACGATGACGTCATGGCGGGGTATTACCTGGTCCTCGCTCCTGGGTGACACCTGGCCTTGGATGCCCCTGCTGCGCTTTGCAAATTATTATTATTACTATAACCTAAATAAGGTTATGTTATGTCTATAAATAATGCTCTAATAATTTTATATGACAACTAAAGAAAAAGTGTCTTAGCAATCCCCTTATTAACCACTTAATATCAGACTGTAACCCTATCTGCTGTCAATTGTTCATTTTCCCTTGATTAAATGATCTGGTTAGATATAACAGGACCTGCCCATACTCTCTTTCCCTATCATCAACCTGTTCTCTCCATTAACCTAAAGAAGAGTCCCACCCAGAGCTTGATGGAAAAATAGAATATTTAGATTTAGAGCAGTATGGGTAACCTGTGTGTGATCCTTTCAGCTAAAAAGCAAATACATTAGAGCACTTCTGATATCATCCAATCCAATGTCCTCCTTTTTAAACATTGAGAATTTCCCTCATACACAGATATGGCAGGTTCTAGAGATAGGGAAAGAAGAGCTAAAACCAGAGTTTAAACCGGAGAGACAAATCAACGGAAAGTTATGGATTGAGGCAACAGACTTTATTAGACATCTAAGGGCATATAGATCTCTTGGCAGGCCTGTTAAGAGAGGAAGAAGCCAGAGGCCATACAAAATATATGAAGAGATGGGAACAGGAGATAAGGAGGGAGATCTCAGAGGAAGAATGGGGAAGGATTTTTACTATGACACATAGTTCTATTAAATCCTCATTCTATCAGGAAAAAAATTATAAAATACTCTCGAGATGGTATAGATGCCCAGAAGGAATTAAACACATAAACCCGGGTGAGTCAGATAGATGCTGGAGATGTAATATAGGAGGGAACATACCTGCATATCTGGTGGAGTTGCCCTAGAGTCTATACCTTTTGGGAGTCAATATTTGAAGTCTATAGATCTATAGGTAAACTAAATCTGGAGAATAACCCCACAATTGCATTACTATCCATGATTCCCGGCCCTATAAAAAAGATAAAGGTAGATATTATTAGATTCGCGTTGGCCGCAGCAAGAGTCAACATATCTCGGGGCTGGAAATCAAGGATTCCTCCCTCACTTGAGAAGTGGGAGACCACGATGGAAGAAATAAGATACATGGAGGAATTAATTGCAAAAGATAACAGTAAAATGGACAAATATAAGTATATATGGGAGATATGGGAGTCCTATAGAAAGTCTGAAGTATTTAGGATTCTCCCCCCCATAGAATGTATGAATGTAAGTATGCATATGTATTGATGTGTGTTATATAAGCTATATGTATCTTGAAATTTTGAAATAAAAATATATTAATAAAAAAAAAATCATCCAATACCAGATTTTAATTGAGATTATACATGTCATGTAAGGACGATCATTGCTGATCTCTATTAAGTCTTATGAATGCATGACATGATAATCCCTAATTCTTTCTCCTTGCTTCTACCTCACAGCATAGCAAGGATTCTGTTCTGCATATCCCACAAGCACAATCCTAATAAATAAATAATAAGTTAATCTTGCCACTCTTTCAGTTTGTGAATGTGCTTTTCACATGTTTTGACAGCTGTATAGTTATGATAATAAATCTAGCATTCCCTAATATGTGACCATATTATTTTAAGATGTGTTATCATGTATTTTGAAATTTGTTTTTGATTGGTACTGTTTAATTTAACTTTTTGTTACATTGTAAATAATTACTGTTGGAACAAGAGTAAATACTAGAGGTGCACTGAAATGGAGATTTCAAAACCGAAATGATTTTTCTGCAGCCCCTGTTATCAATGCACAGGAATCTTCTATGAGTCTTCCTGTTCATTCATAACATGAGGACATTGTATGTTTACTACGGTATAACCACAATCATGAATAAACAGGGGGGTTGTAGATCACTTCCCATTCATTCATAATTGAGGATATAGTAACCATACTATGTCCTCAATTATCTACAAACACTCAGCGATCACTGATCGCTGAGTGTTTGCACTCGCTCTCCTTTCTGACAGCTGTCACAGGAGGCTGAGCGAGTGGTGCGGGGAGGAGAGCTCAGCCTCCTGTGACAGCACAGGCTGTCTCCGCCCACACACCGTTCTGCCGGACTGTCACAGGAGGCTGAGCGGTGTGGGAGGAGAGACGCTGGCTCACAGCGCTCTCCTCCCGCAGCGCTCGGCCGACTGTAACATTTTCTCTCCTCCCTGCTGGGACACAGAGCAGTGCCCTGCGGGGAGGAAAGAAAGCAGGGATGCGCCGATGTATCGGCAGGAAAATGGCACTTTCTGCATTTAGCCAAAAGTGCAATTTTCGGCCGATATGTTTCGGCGGCCGATATATAGGTGCATCCCTAGTAAATACAAATGTTGAGCTAAAGAAAATCGCCTGCCATTACTAACAGTTTGTAGGTGAAAGTATAATCCCAATCTTTGCTTTACTACTTGATAAGCCACTGGCTAGGGACAAGCAAGCAGCCAGGACACCTGATTTGCACATACATGTTTCAGGATAGCGTCTCATCAATCTCCAGAGAATGAATCTTCGAAAAGAAGTCAGAAAGAGTAGCTACCGTATATATGAATATATTTCTAAATGCCCCCCAAGAAAAAAAGCTTGCTTGAGTGCATATTGAAATCTAGCTATATATATTTCTGTATATATGCAGTATAATGGAAATATTACTGACCTACGTCTTGCCACTGCTGATATCCAACGATGTAAACACCTGGCGAATCCTTTTATGCTGTTTATGAAGACATTGGAATAAATTACCTTGTATGTAACTCAAAAACTTCCAGAAGTCATTACCACGATCTAAAGACTTCCCCCCTTTAAAAAAAATTAAGGCATAAAGAATGGTCTTGGTCCGCGTGGAAATGGTTTAACATAAATATGTTGTAATCTGCTGCAAAATTGTGTACTGCTAATTCTCTTTTGTGTATTATATTTAAGGGTTATAGTGGACAGCCAGGTCACAGAGGCTTGCCTGGACTGGATGGTTGTAATGGTACCACTGGAGATGACGGTTTTCCTGGGTCTTCTGGTTTTTCTGGGCCAGCTGGATCATCAGTAAGAATGTTTAAGTTAACATCTATCTATCTATCTATCTATCTATCTATCTATCTATCTATCTATCTATCTATCTATCTATCTATCTATCTATCTATCTAGCTATTTATCTACAAACACATGAAGTGAAAAAAAATACAGCTTAATTTGGGGTTTTAGAACAAATATGAAAAATCTACACTGTGCAACCTGCATAAAATCTGAATTGCTATATATATCCAGAGAGAGAGAGAGACTGATTGTGTATGCAGCATCACTGTGTACGTGAGTATAGTTCCACATTAAAAAAAATGACAGAGCCTCTGCCCTACCACCTCCACCTGATGTAGCTCACCCCGCAAGGAGTAAAGAGCTTTGCTGTGGACATCTCCCGGGTTGCAGTCCTTGTAAACACTTGAACTGGCAAAAGCTAGCAGAAGGAAAAGTACAGAATCAAGAGATGAGCTTGTGATACAAATCAAGCAAGAGGTCAGGACTAGCGGCAAACAGGATCACCAAAGAAGAATCGTGGTCAGAGACAAGCTGAGTCATCAATGGAAATAAGAAGCAGGACCAGGAAAATTAAGAGTGAGCTCACAGGAAGCTTAGGGACAATCTCACAGAGAATTTTTTGCTCAGACATCTTGTTAGAGCTGATCACTTCCTAAGCCAGAGGTGTGACTGGAAGTGTCCCAACAAGTAATAATATCCAAAACCACTAGATGGTGTGGGCGCACACCTGTCGGACAGTAATAAACTTAAACCACGAGATGGTGCACTTCTATGCAGCACTAGAGATTGTAGCCTATGAGTTCCAGGTGAGCTTGCTTCAATATTTGAATGGAACACATCAATTCAGGATTTGATTGAAAAGCAACAGAAGCCACAAATTTACTGTTATAACAATGACTGCAAAATACTCATAACTAGGAATGCTTACATTTGCAGCCAGTAGCTTTTTCTTTGACTTTGCTTTCATTAAAGAAGAACTATGGGGTTAAGGCTTTTCCCCATAGTTCTCCTTAGGGTAACGGGAGGACACAAACTAGCGTCCTCCCGTCACCCTAAGCTCAGTATACTACTGCTACTGCTCGTGGTATACTGAGACGCCGCAGCTGAAGCGGATCCCGACAATTATGTCTGGATCCGCCCAGCTGCGTGAGTGACAGCTGGCTCTGCCTATCTAGAGGCAAAGCCAGCTGTACCCGCCCCCTCCCCCGTCCGATCCGCCAGTCAGCGCTGGCAAGTCGGAGTGGGGAGGGGGGAATCCAGCCGCTCCCCTGTCACGGCACAGAGCTGTGACAGGATCGAGTGGTGAGTGAACGCAAGTATGTGTTCGCTCACTTCTCGATCTACTGAGCCGACCTGTGACAGTGTCATTGTCACAGGTCGGCTAGAACTATGAGGTGAGTTAAAAGCACTCACCTCATAGTTCTCCTTTAACAATAGTATACAATTGTTATTAAGTAAAAAGGAATTATCAGTGCTTTAAATGTGCTGCCTTTTCTTTGCCATAGGGTATTCCAGGTCCCAAAGGCCAGAAGGGTGAACCATCCTATATACAAGGTGGAATTAAAGGACCTAAGGTAAGATCATACCTAGATATTTGTAAACTCTACCATCTACTGTTGACAAGTTAGCTTTAAAATGAATCTATGGTACTTTTATATAGTCCTTTATTATTTTCAGACATATTTATTTTTAGTCAGTCATATTTCTGCCAGCAAGTGGAGCGCTTATTTTCACTGTTTCATCAAGATAACATTACTGCTTTGTTGAGAAAATTCTGTGCTGTTTGATAAACTGAATATTTAGAGCTAAAATTACATATGTAGATGAATGGGGACACACATTCTAATTTTCCTCTGATGATGACTTTACTGATCTCTTTACGATATGTACCACCAAAACTGACTTGGTGTGGAGTTTGGTGGTAGCCTTTGTAGTTACAACCTTACTATTTTTATTGTTTCAGGGAGATGATGGAACAAATGGCGCTGATGGGTTTCCTGTATGTATATATTTGGATTAATTGATCTAGTACATTGAAATAATATTTACTTGTTAAAGTTGTTTTACTCTTTATGACTTAAATGAGTAAGAAAATCTCAAATAAAATGATTGTTTTAATAACACTATTTAGTTGATGCATGATTTCTACTGTTTTAATACAGGGACCACGTGGCCCAGCTGGATCCTCTGGACTGACAGGGCCAGCTGGTCTACCAGGCTTACCAGTAAGTCATATTTTTGTAATTTTATTTTTTATAACAAATGCTATTTTGATAGTAATTGGCATTCCCAAGTATATGTCGTATAGCAGTTAAGGGCATGCACTGCAGTAGTATTTATTTTATGCTAAAGTGGACTCTCGAGCAGCATTATAACATGTGATAGTTTTGCTTTGGTGTTCCGTATAGCAAACATGGGCTTAAGGAGATCACTGAATGGTTAGGCCACCCTTTGCTTTGTGGTCAGTATGAAGGGGAGGGTAGTGGGATGGGCACGACACACCTTGAAGGGCATGCCACACCTTGACCACAACAGCTCTGGCCAATTTTGTAGAGTAGAGAGGGATGGGTTGCTGTGGGCCTAAACAGATAGGCAGGCACTTGAAGGTGTCTGTGTTTACATCCTGCTTGATGAATATGGTCCGAAAACAATAAATCCCACTGAGGTTTTGTATACTACATTATTTGCATGATAAGATACATAATAGGTCTTTCTTAAAAGATGCCAAGAGTAGTGAGGTGTGCATACTTGTAGTACAAAATCAGGTTTCAGTTATCCTCATTAGTAATCAGAACAAGGAAATGAAATGCTGACTGACTGCTATGATCTACTACACTCTGAACATTGCTCTATGATACATTAAAAATGACTTTATCTACTGTAAATATTAATCCAGGTGACCACATGGTATTGAACATTTTACCATGTGGAACCACTTGCTGTTTTGATATCACAAAAACATGAGGCCAACTAAGGACTAGCCTCCACAGGCTGCACAGAAGGGTACTTGGCAGGTGTTCTTAACCTCAGCCACATTCCCACCCAGCGGTCTGGCCTGCTAATTTGCACTGAGCTACACTTTTGCCTGCCTTCGTGTTGCCTTTTTGTAGACCCAACCTGAAAGAATACAAGTCCAAACATTGTTAATGGGCGGGAACACATTGTGCAGGTTAAATGAAGATGGGTCAGAAGTGCTTGGAATGAATAGTAGATCTTGTCATACATGTTCTCGTGCTTTTTTCTGTACGCATAAAAATACTTTTTATGGTTTTATCAACTTTTTGTTGTTGTTTTAGGGTCCACCTGGTCCACCTGGATTTATTGGACCAAAGGTAATTCTTTATCACTATGATTTAAAAAAAATCCTATTTTGTAATCCTTTTATTTAAAATATGTGCACCATAACTTTGACATATTCATAAACCAGAAGAATACACATATTTCTCAAACAGATTATTACACTTATAAGTTATTTTGTGTATCTCAATTTGTAGGGTAATATGGGAGTTGGTTATCAAGGAGAGAAAGGAGAGAAGGTATGTTTTATCCAGAATGAATAATTCCTATTGTGTCCTGAATGTTTTATTTATTATAAAAGTGGTATGTCAATATCCTGTTATATTTACATAATTATGTTTATACAGTAAGTACAGCTTATTATGACCTGTTTTCAGTAATCCATTGGATCCCCATTGGGACGACCCATGACTTTTAAAGAAAAACCTGTATACATACCTTTTTCCATTAGTCTTGTGTCTGGTTGTGTGATGTCGCAAGTCCTCTTCGCCCTCTTCATCCAGGGGGTGGGTGGATCCTGAATGCTGCTGAGAGCATTGCCACACAATGATATATCACTTGGCACTTGTTAGGGCACTTCTTGTCATAGGGGAGACAACACTATTTCCCTGTCTCTTAGTTATGCTTCAGTGTTTTCACCCTGTTACACAGGCTTCCGGCGAAGACTACAGTACATGCACATTACACAGGCATGGTCCACTGTTGTCACCATCAGGAAGCCCACTCTGATACATGGCATGCAGCCATTGTTGCAGATGCCCTACAACAATGTAGACATCGAGTGGCTGCAAGGATGTTGCAGGAGATCAGTGGCACTAAGATGGAACATAGGATTAAAAAAATGGTGAAGGAAGTTTTTTTCTGAAAGTAAAAAAAAAACAAAACATGTATTCATGTACATTTTCTGCATTTTAAGCACACATTTGGTCTAGACCTATTTTTGTGCTTTTCCAATCATTTGTGTGGACCTGTTTAATGTGCTTAAACAAAATGCTACATGTCCTATTTTTCAAATGCACACTAAGCAGCAATGCATAGAATTAAAGTGGAACTTAGGGCTGA